TTATAAAAGCACCCCTTTCAACTGGAAACTGACTATTCAAATGCAGTGAACATTGATTCTGACCTAAAGTTTTGTTTTCATATCACTAACATCAACAATCTGCATGAACTCAACTATAAATAATATTCTTGTGGTCAGATATATAAACCACAATATTATTACCATACAGAATTATCCTGTGCTGGAATTCAAGATTCAGTGCACTAACAAAGGGCTGAAGGAATAGCTATCTACTGCAGACAGTCAGTCTCTAGGGACTAGAACTGAATCACGTGGGAAGGGTAATGAAAAAGAATCATACAAAACACTGTATTAACTTGAAGACTTCTGTCTCAAGGACTGAAAATCCCACAAATTAAAAAACAGATACTTGTTTTAAAAGTTTCAAAATTTGTACATTCTGATCTATAAATTCGTACATATTGAAATTTTACTTTACAATCTCCTGGTACCCAAAATGGCAGATAAATAATAAGCTAATAATAAAGTTTATCTCAGTATCTTTCTCCTGTCTCTGAAGATACCAGCACCAGACAGATTTAAAATATAAAATCAAAATTACTCTGATTGCTTTCTGAAATTACATTTGTGCTGTTTCAATACATGCAAATAACAGGGGTATTTTTATTCTATAATATCTCTTTACAAAGTTATAGCCAAACTAATATTTAAAGGTATACTGAGTCTGAAAGAATAGTACCCTTAGTAAAAGCACACTCATTTCCAAGAAGGCAGTGAGAACACTTGCAAAACAGACAAAAATATACATGTAAAGGAAGCTATTCCAAGCCTATGTCAACATCACATGTTGCTGATCTTGGACCATATTGTGCCATTGATTTTTAAGTAGAACTTGTAACTTATTTCATTGATGGCTCCTTAACAGCAGTTGGCTATTTTATTTCTGCTGACAGAGGATTGAGAAATCAATTCTCTGAGAGACAGGATGAACAGTTACCACGGTATTCAACTGCAAAGCCAGGTCACTGCACAAAGGTGAACTTACCAACTGTATGCAATATGGGCTTACACTAAGGAAAAATGATAATTAACAAGTTAGAATACAGGTGTGAGAAGGCAGGCAATCAAATACAAATCTCAGGTTTAACAACTGTTGACTGATACAGACTGACAATATCCTTTTTTCTCCTCCTAAACTTTCTGCAGATTTCAGACTATCAAGCTACCGTTGTGGAGGCTTACCGATAAAGAGAATCTTCTAAAGCAGACAATTCATATTTTGTGAAATAAAAAGAATGACTTCTACTTTCAGTTAGGTTCCATGAAACACACAGTGAAATCCCCTTTGATGCCAACAATAAGTTTACACAGGTCACATGGAGTTTATAGCCTCTCTGAAATCAGTAACTCTTCCTTAGCTTTCATATTAAGGTTATTTGTTATATTCATCAAACTACCAAAGGAAAACCATACGTGACTAAGATCTGTATAACTTCCTTTCTTTCCTCATCTCCTCCTTCTTTCCCTAACCTTATAAAGTGTTCTGCCTCAACAGATCTCAAAGTGCTCTCAAAAAACGTGGAAAGAAACAAAAAAATGCAATTCAAGTGCTAGATGTTTTAGTTCACCAGTTGAAAGCAAGCCAGTGAAAGGGTCTGAAAGCAATATAGGTAAGAAAGCTTGCAATATCTTTATCTGAATGAACCACAGAACTTGCTCAACTCTCAACCAGTTAAACTCTTAAATTCTCAAGTGTCTTTACCCTAAATTACTCCCAAAAGGATGGGAAAAGGAAAACAAAGAGAAACACTAAAATTTTAACATTGTGGCTTAAAAACAAACAAAGAAACAAATCAAAACCAAAGCAACCTACAAACTCAAGTTTTTTCCCTTGTAACCTCCTAGTTTTCCTGGAAGGGAAAATGACTGGGAACACTCAGCACAGATAAGAGCCACTTGTTGCACACCTCCGCTATGGAAAGAACAGAATATTAGCAATGGCTATGTATTATACTGGTAAATAACTTAAAAAGGCAAATCCTCAGAAGCTCTCTCCCAGCCTCTCCCTCCCCCCACACTTTTTTGAAGACAAGCTGTTTGAAAAAAAAAAAAAAAAAAAGTATTAATTCCAGTCTATACTGTCTCTTAATGACTCTTCTGCACTGGAAAGAGGAAGCCTTAACAGTAGTTACAAGCTGCATGGAAACAACACCACAAATTGTGCCAGGCAGGGAACTCTGTGCCCAACAAGCTAACTGCAAAATGCAACATTCAGGAAGTGCAGAATGATCAAACAGCCAAAATACGCTCCTAACATTTGGCTATTGCTTTAGGGAGACATCTTTAACTTTTCTCCACCAGTCCCATATGGTTTCTCTCCTAGACCCAGAAGCCATTTACTGCAGTTAATCATGCAGCTTACTATATAAATGCAACCATAGGCCTTCTCTGCAACACAAAACATCAAAGGAAAAGAGGCAAAGCAAACTGCCCAGGAGTGCCTCACAACCCAGTGGCTGAACATCTAAATAAACCCTTCTAGTGGCTGGAAAAGCCCAAAAATTGCTGTTACAATCTTACAACTACACAAATCTACTTGTAGAAGAAGCTGTGTAACTAGGCCTAAGGATTGATTTACCAGGAAAAGAAAAGTAACCAGGCAGAGCTTTCACAGACCTTTACCATCGAAAAAAGGCAATTTTACTAAGGTCTATTGTCTACCTTACAATTCAAGCATACAAGTCAGAAAGGAAGACAAGCAAGAAGGTCCAAGATCAGCAGGGCTCACAGACGTGATGCCCCACAGCACTTCCCTGAAGAGATTCCATAGCGACTGTAAATCCTACATGCAGCCTTTATCTCAAGGGGAGCATTAATTTGTGCTTCCCTACTCTGTTCAGCCACCCCTTTCCATGAAACAAAGGGATTTAATGCCTTTGAAATCTCTACTGTTGTTGACAAACTCGGCTGAGACTGGTCAAGTGTAACAGCTGTTACTGAGAACAGAACTGGTGGAACAACATGACTTCAAGAACCTGGTGTTTTCTGGGCATGTGTTCATAAAGAAAGAATTAAAAAAACAAGGAATGATGGGAAGTGTAAGTTACAAACACAGGATGACAAAGTCTGTCTGACAGGTGAACTACAGATGAAGTAATAGGAGACTAAAGGAAGAGGCAAAGAGAATGTTGAGAAACTGAAGCTGGTTAAAGACAGATTAGTATCGCAGATTTTTAAAGTTTTCTTTAATTAATTTAAATTGCAGTTCTAGATTTGAGGTTTTTATTTACTGCCTCCCTTGATTTGAGAATAATCTGACATTTTCTGTTTTCAAACACATACCAGCTTCCTGTAGCTAAAAAATAAGAGCAGCTCTATCATACAACAGTAATTGTACCTGCCACCCATTACAGTTACATGATGACTATTAAGAATTTTATTTAAAGCACACTTCAGTTTTTTCTTTCTGCAATCACAAAAGTCCTGACTTCTTCCTTAGCACAGGAAGAACATAAAGGGTATATAACACAAAACCTTTGAAGTACACTCAAAAACTGGACAAGAACAACTCCATCATGAAGAGCCGAGCAAAGCTGTTTCCAAAGACAGCCACACAAGAAGTAAGCGAGACGAGCTGAAGACCAGGGCAGAACAGCATCACAACACTCCTCATTTTCATCACCTCATACCAATGTACAATTTAGCCTTAGGCTGAACTTTGAATTCGCTACAGACAGGATTTTTGCTTGCCTCTTTCTTTAAGATGCATTAAAAGGTGAAAGACTGTGTGGATGCTATTTGAATCTGTAGGCATAAGCTGCACTGTTCCTCTAAGCGAGTGCCATCTTCTGTAAAAGGTAAAAATCACTGCCCACATGTACCCAAGGCTGGACTGAATCATGTCAAATAAGACCTTAAATGAAGCATACCTGCTTCTCTTTCTGGGCTTACATGAAAGCCTTCAAATCATTCAACAACAGCTATTTTTTCTGGCTTAGACCAATCAGGGAATAAAATACTTTTCAAGCCTGATAAAGACTAGTTCTTTATCAACAGAAGCTACCAAAGAAGTGCCTTTTAACACTGTATCATGAAGATGAACATTGGAGAGGGACGTTCACTTGCAGTTCCTATTCACTTCCAAACACTAGGTAGGGCCAACAAATTTCATTGCACTTTAATGCTTGCAAACTGAAACACCAGCACTGATATGACCACGTTTTTCTTACTACTTGTTATCTAAAAAGCCATGGGAGAAAACAGTATTTTTTACTACTGACGTGTTAAGCATAGAGTCTATTTCCATATTGCGACATGGCTGTAATAATTAGAGAATGTGCTTTATATGCCACCTGAAATATTTATAGAAGATTAATGAAATAAAGAAAAATTAATAACTAGACTACTAGCAAAATGTAGCAGACTCAAAAGTCAAGTGGCAGTAAAGTAATAATTTACAAAAATATACTTTGAAGTTGATAATTATTACACATTTCTAATTTACAAAGAAATTTACCACTCTTACCCTGTGATAATTTAAAACCTGCTCATTTAAACAGCTTTCCACAACAACATTCTAAAATTAATTTCAACTAACAGTCTTTAATATGCACTAAAAGACACAAAGTGCAACCGCACCAAGAAAATATATTCACTTGCTGGCTACAGGAGTAGTAGTATCAACACCAGACCAGAACCTAACGGCAAGAAGTGACTGTTGGACTTTGAATTACAACTAAAGACTGATGTAACTTTGACGAAGCACTGACAATTCTTATATAAAGCTGTGTCAGCAAGAAAATAACAGTTATATGTAAAAAATTACAATTAGCTTTATCAGTGAAATCTTACACTGTCAACACAGCAAATAATTCATTCTAGTAATTTTTCAACTCATAATAATACTACTTTAAAATACACATAAAAACAGTAGTAGTGTTTTGTATTATACATGTGGGAGATCAATAACAATACCAAAATTTCAATTGAATACAGAGTACTTAGTGACCTACTTTTATAGGGCATATACTTATACTTACATATTCAGGTTTCAATTTCTTGTCTCCTCCTCTTACAGCTACCTTTTCAAGCTTGTCTATACTTTGCATGATCAGCTCCTCATCTTTAAGTCTAAGTTCCTCATGTATTATTTCAATGTCACGAACAGGATCTACACTTCCTTCAACATGAGTGATATCATCATCTTCAAATGCTCCTAAAACAAAATAACACTTAAATTACATATTAAGGTAAAAAGACAAGAAATATCTATTTACAACACACTATTAAGAGTCACAAGAGTTTGAGATGAAAAAGTAAAGTCAGTAGGTCTGTCATACTACCCATATACAAGCAGCACCTACAGTATTTTACATCATAATGTTTTAGTCTGTTAATTTACACATCAACTCCAGAATCCAAAGCTTTATACAGATACACACAAAGCATAGCACTTCGGCATTTCAGGAGAGCACTTAACACATCTTTAAGTTTTTCTTCTAAGCAGGAACAGGCTAGAGCACTTTCCTGAAAATAGGTACCATTGTATTTAACAGTATCTAACGTACCAGTAGCAAACACAGTAGCTAAATTGAACATCGCAGAACATTTTAATACAAGCAGTAATGACTAAAAGACTCATGGAAAGAAAACCTTACAAATCACCCTGGCAGCCTTCACTGGCTGACCAATTTTCTGCATTAAGGAAAAAAAAGAAGTTCTAGACAAAGAATTCTGAAGTTCTGAACGACTCTTAGTGTTTCCAAGGGAAACAGGGCTTAGAAAAAAAGGCCTGAAATCATCTGGCAGACCTCGTCCCTGTTTCAATCTACTTTATCACTGTGGTTCTGACGGTGATTAGATAATGAACCACTCAGACACACAATTTACACAGCAGCTAATTTCATCGGCCTGATTTGAGGGTATGGTTTTTAGGGGGCCATCAAAGAAGCAGATGAAGGTGCATTTGTCATATATGAGTGACAACCATTCACACTATCTGAACAAAATGGTGCTGGCCCTTATTAGAAACACATGCTATTATCACATATTTAAAGTGCAGTTGAAGCCATAATTTCAAATTGCCAACTGGAAACATAAGGGTAAAACAACCAGATATTACTGAAGCATGTGTGCTGACTTCATGCCCTTCTGAAGACAATCTGGCAACATAATTCAACTAGGATTTAAATTATCAGATAAGCAGCATCACCAAAAAACACCCCCACCCCCAAAATCAATACGTATTTTAAAAATAAAAATATTAACAATTAAAACCAAAACATTGCTTATTCCTGGATCAATTTTCAGAGTATTTGCATGCCTACCCTACATTAAAGATATGTCTGAGAATTCAATCACGAAAATAATTTTGTTTTAATATTACCAAAATGAAAATCAACTGATTTATCTTTTTACACAGGGGGAAAAAAAAAAACCCAAGGCCTTTCTTGTACAAAATATAAGAAAAAGGATAAACTACAAACAGTTCCTTAACTGATATGCAGAAAGTTGAGGTTCTTTGTTGTCATCCATATGTTAAACTTGATCTTTTCTTTTCACTCACTGGTTTTAGCAATAAAGATTTTATATCAAAACACACAGTACACAGGTTTAAAATGTTGTTGACAGTCAAACATCAAAATAATTCACATAAACTTATGAAGTCTTTAAAACAGTGGTTACCAGAAGTTCCCCCCTCTCACATCAGCTGTCTCTCTCCAAAGATCATCAATGAGCTCCCTTCACAGAATCACAGCATGGCAGGGGTTGGAAGGGACCTCTGGGCATCATCTGGTCCAACCCCCCTGCTAAAGCAGGTTCACTTACAGCAGGTCACACAGGATGGCATGCAGATGGGATTTGAGTATCTCCAGAGGAGACTCCACAGCCTCCCTGGGCAGCCTATTCTGTGCTCTATCACCCTCAGAGTAAAGAAGTTTTTCCTCATGTTGAGGCAGAACTTCCTGTGCTCCAGTTTGTGCCCATTGCCCCTTGTCCTGTCACTGGGCACCACTGAAAAGAGTCTGGCCCCATCCTCTTGACACCCGCCCTTTAGATATTTCTAAGTGTTGACAAGGTCCCCTCTCAGTCTTCTCTTCTCCAGGCTAAAGAGCCCCAGGGCTCTCAGCCTTTTCTCATAAGAGAGATGCTCCAGTGCCCTCAACATCTTTGTAGCCTTTCACTGCACTCTCTCCAGTAGTTCCCCATCTCTCTTGAACTGGGGGTCCCAGAACTGGACACAGTGCTCCAGATGTGGCCTCACCAGGGCAGAGCAGAGGGGGAGGAGAACCTCCCTTGACCTGCTGGCCACATTCTTCTTAATGCACCCCAGGACACCACGGGCCTTCTTGGCCGCAAGGGCTCATTGCTGG